ACGTTAGATAATCTCACTGATCGAATATTTTGAAATAATGTCTGGCTTATGAATGAATACAGTATCGGGTGAGCTACGAACTGAATTAAGTTTCATTTTGTCAATCGATTCTTCTCTTCGACATCAGAACAAAATACTGAATAAACGAACAAATTTCACATGCTGAAAAAATTATGTTTTTGAATTTCTTCAATTCCAAATTGAGATCGTAAAGAAATGAGATATATACGATTTTGTGGAAGAAACGAAGCTCCATCGATTAATATATGACTCACTTCGAATATTGGAAAATTTGCGGATGGAAAACTTGAAAAAAGTTAGATCGATTTTTCATGGTTTTTCTCATTTATTTTTGAGGGTGTTTGTGGTTTGGTAGTCCTGGAGAACCACTAGTAAGTCTTCGGGTCGGAATATTCTGAATTCATCTATAGTAGATAAAGCGTAAAATTCCTAGAGTGACAAATCGAAAATCAATTGATCTTCATATTTTGGCAACCTCTGGGTGTTTCATGGAATGTCTCTTACGAAAACGTATATTTATTTAGGTTTGTTCAAGTTCGTTCGTCAATCAGGATTGGATTATTGCTACGTTTAAAGCTAATGCATCTCGAGTTTCACCCATGGATGCACGGACAGTGGCTAGTTCTTATGCCCAATTTCTTCGTTTATTGTGTGAGTTTAGTCAAGAAAGCATAAAAGCGCATATAATTGGTGATCTTGGTACTTATATATTGACTGCACAACCCATGTCTTTATCTGGTGTCCAAATCACAATCAAGGATCGTATTGATAGCATAATTCTAAGTGTAAAGTCTGATTCATCCCAGATACTAAACCTTTTTAGTTATATTTTCTCTGCGGAGTTGTTGATCAGTGGACTTGGTACTAATGCAGTTGCTACTATACCACCAAATGTAACTAATATAGCGTCAATATCTACAAATGTGTATGAAATGATGGATGGTTCCTTATGCTATTGTTTGCCAGCGAGAACATGTTTAGTGCCTGCAGCGATCTATTGGGATCCAGTAGAGCAAACAGGCAATGTCTATTCTATTAATGGAAATAAAACACTAATTAGAGGTATGCAAACAGACTGTTATGCATCCAATGGCCTTTTATCATCTACTCTTGAATGTTATTATGACTCCTCATGTCTTGAACTTATTGTCACGAATGCAACTACTTTCACACCTCTGAATGCTTCTATTCCAAGTAAATTTTCACTGAATAGCCATGTTAGAGATCTGATGAATGAATTGATGTTAGAAGAGATTGCTTCGTCCTACTCTGTAGAGATGTATTATATACACTGTGCACCTTTGACATGTACTTATTCTTATACACATCGTGTCAGACTGTTAACTATTGTGACAAGCACCATCAGTCTTATTGGTGGTCTGAATATAACTCTGAAATTCATTATTCCATTGTTTACTGATCTAATGTTGAGAATCAAAAGAGCATTGTTCACTTCACGAACCAATGAATTACCGAAAGTTGCATCAGGTAGGATCATTTTAACTTCATGTACGACATTTGATGAAACATGTTCTATCGAAAAAGAAAATATCTCACTCACAAATGAAATTTATCAGATTACCTAGTATTGAAGTAATAACATTTCACGATGTAGCAATTTTCCAACTACATAAAAATATGTCATGGTTATATCGAATTAGAATGCTGACGATGAGAGTCGCCTAATCTTGTTGAGAAAGCATTCTTGTTCATCTTTGCACCGACTTGCTACCAGATTCGCCTCCACTCTAATTCAAAACTGTTTTCCTCGACCATCATACTCATGCATACCCATCCCAGTCAATGTTCGACGAGTGCACTCTCAATGTTTAGTTTACTCAAAGTGCAATAAACATTTGCTATAGTTGAGTAATTTCCTTTATATTAGATATGATCTTTATGTTAGAAGTTAATCTAAAATGTCTACATCCTAGATGCATACATGTCGCAATAGAATGTCCTTACTTCACATTATCTTATTTCAATAAAAATTGCCAAAAAAATCTTCTTAATTACAGTAAAGCTAGAACAGAGTGGAAAAGCGTATGTGTTATTGAAATGAGAGTTCAAGTTGAGCCGTAGCAAGAAATTGTCGGAGCTGTCACTCTCTAACAGATTTCATCAATAGCTAGTTTATGAAACGAGCCTACATATATAAAATAGGTTGTATGGAAAGGATCTCTCTGATAATGCCTTTTGCTTTTAGTTTTCTCTATTAAAGACACAATATTGTTGTTATGGGTGACAATCAAATCATTGAATTTGTTTGATTCTCATTCAAATGATGTACGTGTCACTAATCATGAACGATTGACGACTCGTCTTTTCATCATCTTATTTGTTCTTATATTGATCATCCTTACATTTTATGTTGGTTTTCCAAAAATGTTGCATACTTACACTATTTACAAACCTTCACAAGCCCAATACAAGCTTCTAAAAGCTAAATATTCTGCCACACTTCAATGCCCATGCAACATTACGGAGATTCCTAAAAGAAGCTTTGTCTTTATGAATATAAGCTATCATCAGATATGTTCCAGTGGCTTTATTTCACCTCTTTTTATCGCTCAACTCTATACATTTAATGATTCACGGTTGTACAAGAATGATTTTATGAAGATGAGTGGAAATTATTTCACGCACATTGCTTTTTTATGCATGGTTGTCATCTCTTATGTTCAAAATATGTACGATCAATTTTATGCAGGTGTCTTTGTTGCAGAAACATTGATAACTACAGATGAATTGAATGAAAAATTTCAAACTGATGTCACATCGTTCAGATCCTGGTTTCAGAAAACTATCGGTCGAATAATAAAAATAGTAATTGAACTCACGACATCTGCTTTCGTAGCATCAACCACCTATAATTCTTTCGATCTGGAAATCCTTCCCGATAGAACTGTTCAAATCCAACCTACTGGCTTTGTTAATTGCTCGTGTATTGTCGAACCTAAGACTTGTTCAACCGAGGCGGGTTTCTATGAGTACAATTCGTCAACAAATTCATTCACATTATTGTACTCAATAATGGGCATTCGGTTGGCCTGTTCACCAATACGATCTACATCACAGTCTAGCTTTGCTTGCTGGTACTCATCAGAATGCTATAATACTGTAAGATATTTTATTTATTTAGGATAACAGTTAGCTAACTTTCAAAACTCATTCTATTGAAAGGCCTTAGAAATTTTCATCATTCCACTTAAAATAACTGATGATCTTTCATGTGTAACAGAAGGTGAGAAAAACTACGTACAATATTATAGTTTTCGAGATTATATTTCGTCACAGGCAGCTGCCAAATTTCATTATTTCCATTTTAGACAGTGCTATGAATTCGATCAAATATAAGTAATTATTCGAGAATGTCTGTAAGTTTATTCTCCAGAAAAAGGAGAATATCAATTAATCTTAAACGGTATTTATCCATTAGAATAAAAACATTGAACAGATTCACTACTATTGAACGCTTGAAAAGAAATTAAAACAATATGAGAATATATTTCATCATTACTAAATCAATTTTAGGTTATCTACTATTGGCGAAACAGACTTAACAATTTAGATTTCATTCCATCTTTGTTGAATCAAAAGCATAACAGTAATTTTGATATGTACTCTTCAATTATGGATATTTTGGAAGAAGCAATGATTGAAGAATTTTCGATAAAAGTGTCCTATTCTTCTTTTTTCTCGCAATGCTCCGCAAATTATTGCACCTACTCGACTTACAGACGACGAAATATTATTGTTATCGTAACAATCTTGATGTCTGTCACAAGTGGTTTGTCTGTTATCTTGAAATTACTGGCACCCACTCTGGTTCAAATTGTCTCTTGGTGTTTTGGACAAATCCAAGGTATGTACAAGGATTAAAACTCGAGTTTTGAAAATATTTTCAGTACAGGGATCGATACACAAATTGAATGTTAAAATATGCGTGCATTTTCTGATAAATAGCTGAAGAAAACGATAAAAATCCATTCAAAGATTAAGTGTTAGAATTCAAAAAAATCGAAGAAGATTTCCAATTCATCATGTTCTGAAAAGTCAAATAACAGTTGATTTCCCAGTTTTTCGTAGAGTAGAAAACATATGAGCATGTCGATAGAGAAATTTTTTCCCTCACGCTTTGTTTGCAATAGTGAGAAGTCATAGACAACTGTACACTGTCTCATTTTCATTAACACAATTAGTTGTCAAAAACCGAAAATGACTTCGATTCTAGACTATGAACTTCTATATTTAATGAAGCAGATAAAGAATGACAGAAAAGCACCTCTACATGGACGATTCGGATTGATTTTCAGAGATTAAACTTTGCTCTATATTGTTTGTGTATTGATGTTGTATGCGACGCCAAACGTTATCTTTAACTTCAAGTCTCTAAAATGATTTTTTTTCAATAGGTCGGCTTCATTTGTTACGTCTGCGACGTGAAGTATATAATGAACTGATCAATCTCAATCTTTTCTTCGATCCACGAATATCTTCCCATTTGACATTAGAAATCGAACGGCATACAACTCGGTTATATATGATACTTTGGGCCCTAGTCTTTACTATTCTGGTAGTTTACAAATCTCTAGCTAAAGAAGTTTTTACAATCCGTGTCGAACAGCCAACAGAAACAACATATGAACAACTCATACGTTCTGTTAGTTTATCGGTTCAGTGTCCTTGCGCACGTTTATTCTTCACATATGATGCCTTCGTACAATTAGAAGCTCAAATGCATCAGATTTGCACGAGTCAATTCATAGACGGTCCATGGATAGAGAGTATATTTGGCGATGGTAATTGGTCGCATATACCAACAAATGAATTTCGTAGTCGTGGTGTTGCTTATTTTCTCGTCCAGCAATCTCTTTGCACTTTAGCTCAACTTACAGTTAACAGCACCATTCTGTTCTTACGTAGTAAATATATATTCAATGGTCAAGTCATTCCAAAAGAGCAATTACTTTTGCAAATCAAAACTGACATTGATACTACAATAGATTGGAACATCCTTACATTTGTTGCAATATTTCGCCTTGGCAGAGAAATTATTCAGAAAAACCAGTTGATAAATGTCTTCTCTTTAAACTGGGTATATTCGCTTGAAGGGAACAACCAAGTACCGTATTATCGCATTCCGACTCGGCCAATATCTCATGGACCCAACTGCTCCTGTGCAACATCGTCAGCATGCACGGAACCAGTTTTTATTGGTAATGAGATAGTACCTGGCTTTACTCTGGGTTGTTCTCCAATGGAATCGCTTCTTCGATCTACACTCACTTGTCTCTATAATCAGACATGTTTAAATTTGATCAACATTAGGAATTTATCATTCATTCATCCACTTGATGCTTCATTACCGAGTCGATTTATGTTGAACAGTACAGTTGAAAACTTGACTGCAAATGCATTTGTGGAACAATGGTTATACAACATATCTTATTCGACATTTTACTCTACATGTCAACCATCGATATGCACTTATTCGGTGTCTAAACGAAAAGATCTGCTTGAAGTCATTACAATTATATTGGGACTTTACAGTGGGCTGACATTAATTCTTCGTTTAATTGCTCCTTTACTCATATCAGCTTCTAATCTAGTATCCGTTTTAGTTTGGCGACGTAATAACATCGTAGTTCCATTTACTTAAGTATATTACTCTTTCCGATTCCTAAAACGCGGCTTCTTTTTTAGCTTCGGCTTTTTCGTCACTAAAATTACCTTAAACTTTGTCTTTGTCGAACGTCACAAGAATCATAGGTTTTCGTCACTTATTTTTTTCTATTGTAAGGGTGAATTTTCACAACTCCTAACTAAAAAAACTGCACTGTAATTGCTTCATTGAATCCCGTTTTCTTCGTTATCGAGCTTAGTTTGGGTGTGGGTGTGGGTGTGGTTAGGTGTTGATGTGGATTTTCTCTTAACCCACATCACCCACACACTCTTCAGTATTGATGGATGTTAATTCAAGCACAAATAGACGAAACATAGTCATCATGCAGATTCATTAATCAAAATCACAAAACTTTCCAGACGTGTTCGTGCATAAAACTCATTTTAGTTTTACTGTTTGTTTATTACTGCATAATCGGAAATTCAATGAATGACTACTATATTTTAAGTTATAAAAAATGAAAAAGGAATCGATTATGTTATGATAGTTTTGTGATTTTGATTAATGAATCTGCATGATGACTATGTTTCGTCTATTTGTGCTTGAATTAACATCCATC